CCTTTTGATTTCCTTTGGTTCCATTGTGACATCTCCCATGTGGTTTCTAATGCATGTTATTTGTGTCTTCTCCCTCTTTTGTTAGGTTTGCCAATGGTCTGTCGATTTTGTTAATTCTTTCAAGGAATCAGCTTCTTGTCCTGTTGATTGTTTCTATAGTTTCTTTCCATCTTCTTTTGATGCTTACTACATCACTTAATATTTTGCCCATAGAATACTTCACTATTGCAAATCGAGGTTTGAATTTTTTCTTCAATTCTTTCAACTTGAGAAATGCTGACTGTGTTCTTCTCTCTTAGTTTCCAACTCCAGGTCTTTGCATATTTCATTATAATACTTGACTTAGTCATATAAAACTGTCCTTTGAATTTTTCTGTTCTGCTCTTGTACCTCCTCATTTCTACCATTTGCTTTATCATCTTTACCGTGGAGAACAAGTTCCAGGAGTCTCTTCTGACAGCTATTTTGGTCTTTTCCTTCTTTCTTGTCTTCTTAATGACTTTTTGCTTTCTTTCTGTATGATATCCTTGATGTCATTCCATGACTCTTCTGGTCTTCAGTCATTAGTGTCTAATGCATCAAATCTGTTCATGAGATAATTTCTAAATTCAGGTGAGATATGGTCAAGGTCAAATTTTGGCCCTCATGGGCCTGTTTTAATTTTCTTCAGATTCAGCCTGAACCTGCATATGAACAATTGATTTGTTTCACATTCTGCCCCTGGCCTTGTTTTGGAAGCCTTCCCACAGATGTAGTCAATTTGATTTCTGTGCATGCCATCTGGTGAGGTTTATGTGTATAGTCCTTTTTTTTTATGTTGTTTAAAAAAGGTATTTGCAATGAACAAGTCATTGCTCTTGCAAAATTCTATCATGCAATTTACTGCATCATTTCTATCACCAAGGCCATATTTTCCAATTACTAATCCTTCCTCTTTGCTTCAGTTTTTGCAGTCCCGTTGTCAGTAATTATTAATACATCTTGATGGAATGTTTGATTAATTTCAGACTGAAAAAGTTAGTATAATTCTTTAGTTTCATCATCACTGGCTTTATATAAATTTGTTGGTATATAAATTTGAATAACAGTAGTACTAACCAGTCTTTCTTGTAATGAGATGGATATTATCCTAACACAGACAGCATTATACTTCAAGATAGATTTTGAAATGCTTTTTGGACAGAGAATATGATGCCATTCCTCTTCAATTTGTTATTCCTAGCATAGTAAGCCATATGATTGTCAGATTCAAAATAGCAATGCAGTCTATTTCAGTTCACTAAGGAGCTCTGGTAGCGTAGTGGTTACGAATTGGGTTGTGAACCTCAAGGTCAGCAGTGTGAAACTACTAGCTGTTCCTCGGGAGAAAGATGAGGCTTTCTGCTACTGTAAAGATTTACAACCTTGGAAACCCTGTACAGGGTCGCTATGAGTTGGAACTGACTCCACGGCATACAGCCAATACCTAAGATAGCAATCTTTATGCATTCTATTTCATTTTTAATAACTTAAACTTTTCCTAGAGTCATACTTGGGACATTCCATATTCCAATTACTAATAAGGAGCTCTAGCAGCATAGTGGTTATGAGTTAGGCTGCCAACCTCAAGGTCAGCAGTTCAAAACTACCAGCGGTTCCGCAGGAGGAAGATGAGGCATTCTGCTCCCATAAAGATTTACAGCCTCGGAAACCCTGTGCAGGGTCACTATGAGTTGGACCTGACTCCACAGTACTGAACAATACCAACAACAACAATAATAATAGCAGCTGTTTCTCCTTATTTTGAGTTGCTCCCCATTAGCAAATGAAGGTCCCAAAAGCTTTGCTCCATCTCACATCATATGGTCAACTCTATTTTGAGGAGGTTGTCATATTTCGAGTTCCTTCCAACCTGAGGGGCTCATCATCTGGCACTATATCAGACATATTCATAAGCTTTTCAGTCGCTAACCCTTCAGAAGTGGCCTGCCTCTCCTGCTTTCTAGTCTGTCTTAATCTGATAGCTCCGTCAAAAATAGTTCACCATTGATAACCTTGCTGATACTTAAAAATAGTGGGGGCATAGCTTCCAACATCACATCAATACACAAGCCATCACAGTATGGCAAACTGATAGATGATAAGATTTATTTAATAATGAAGAAATAATCATAAAAAAGAAAAGAAATAATCATCTCTGAAATGTATCTGCCAAGGGTATGTTGTTGTTGTTGTTAAGTGCCATCGAGTCGGGTCCGACCCATAGCGACCCTGTACAGGGTTATAGTGCACTATTTATCCTGCTGAAGACATCTCATACTTTAAGCCCTTCATTGTCGTTGTTAAGTGCCATCGAGTCGGTTCCAA